GTCTCTCTCTCTCACACACACACACACACACACACACACACACACACACACACACACACACACACTACTTTATAATACAAACCTTTCCCATATAGCCTTCAGGGAAGGAAATGATTTATGCTTTGTTTTCGGAGGGAGGAGAGATTATAATGAGCAGGGAATTCCTGATGCGGAACTAATGAACTTGGGTCTTAAGAGATGGGTATGATTTGTGCCAGTGGAGAGGAGGGTGGGGCACTTCGGGAGAGGGCTGGCATGAGCAGAGGCACCACAGGAGACAAGGGAATAAACTGGAACACCAAACCCTACGGAGTAACCCTTGTTCTGAGGCAATGGGATACTCCATAAGAGCCAGAGAGCTTCTCCCAGAGCTATTCTGGTGGTGATGGGTGGAATGGATCAGGGAAGTGGCCAATCATAGAGAGAGGGGAAACAAAGCTTATCACAGGAGTCAAAGCAAAAGAGGATCCTGAAATCAGAGCACATGCCTGGGTATAGCCCACTCCACACCCAACATTCACCCAAACACAGGATGGCTATTCAGTAAATATTCAGTGAAGTGAATTGCACAGATCAGTCAGAAGATAAGAAAGAATGAGGAGTTGGTGATGTGGAAATCTATCTTGTTCTTATTCACAGAGCCTAGCAGTGCTGCTCACAGGATACTGAAGAAAAGGTGTCAGAAGTTGTCACCACTATTAACTCTGGAATTGGCCTAGACAAAGCCAACTAGACACAGGGATGAGAGTGAAGGAAGATTGCAAGCACACTCTGAGAGGGGATGGGGATACGTTAGTCATGTGATAGCTCAGAAGCATAGGTTTTATAAGGAAACCAGGCTGGGTGGTATAATGCAGGGTAGGGGGTAACCCTATAAAGCAAGGGGAAAGACCTCAGCTCTGGGTTCTGTCTGTTAAATACATAGATGAGTCCTAGGCCAACTTGGGGAGGAGGGGGTACTCCTAGAGCTAATTCTTTGACCAGCTATGCGTTTCTATGATTCTACACTTTCTCTGGAACACATCTAGGCAAGACCAATATGGGAAACTAAAATCTTTATCACTTCCTTCCCCTGAATTCCATCGCCTCACAAAGCATGTCCTTACATCTCTGTGTACATGGCAGGCCTCACTTGAAAACTAGCCTGCCGTTGTGATTGATGTCCAGATTGTTCTAAGTCTATAGTCAGTCTTCTGGTAGCTATGCCCTTGGTATGCACAATTAATTGTGTAACAAATTATGGCAAAGTTTAATAATAGAGTCAATTTCTGCGCACGCACACACACACACACACACACACACACACACATCTTATCCTTACATCTGCCCTGATAAGTAGCAGAACTTACAACTGCTGCTCATTAATCCTGATGAGTAACAGTGGGATGCAGAAACAGGGGAGGATTTTTTTAAATGACAATCAGTAAGGCTTCTGTCCAATCAGTAGCATTTGTGCTAACATAACAGATCATGATTCTTTAAATGATTTCCCAGTAAAAAAAGAAACACAGAACTTTAACAAGTAAGCCACATCACCAGAATGTTCATTAAGTTCTTCTTTTTTTCTTATAAGTGCAAATCAAAACTACAATGAAATTATATCTCACCCTAGTTAGAGTGGCCATCATTAAGAAAACAACAACAAATTCTGGGGAGATTGCAGTAGGAAAAGGAACCCTCACGCACTGTTAGTGGGAATGCAAACTACTATAACCATTATGGAAATCATTGCAGAAACACTCAATAAACTAAAACTGCAACAACCATATGATCCTTCTATACCACTCCTGAGCCTATATTCAAAGAAATATAAGTCAAGATACAATAGAAAGTCTTGAAAATCCATGTTTACTGTAGTACAGTTTCTAAGAACCAAACTATGGGATCAGCCTAGATGTGCACCAAACAATGGTTGGGTAGAAAAAAATGTAGATAGGTAGGTAGACAGACAGACAGAACAGACAGACAGACAGATAGATAGATAGATGTGTGTGTATATACACATACAATTATTTGGCCATAAAGAATAAAATTATGTTGTTTGCAGGAAACTGGATGGTACTGGAAATCACCAAGTTCAGTGAAAGAAGACAGACAGAAAAGGGCAAATATCATAGCTTCTCTCTCATATGCAGAATCTAGACAAAACATAGACTGCTTATGATGGAAAAAAGCAGAGGAAGTTGGGTAAAAGGAGAGAGTTCGAAGTACTTTATACATATGTATGCAAATGAAGCAGTGAAATTGAGTGAAAAAATGTTTTGAAGAAAGGAGGGGATCAGAAAGAGTAATAGTAATGCATTTGATCAAAGTACATTACATATATGTATGGAAATATCACAATGAAACCCCTTTGTACAAATTATTTATGGTAATAAAAAGAAAAGAAAGAGTAGCACCTCTTCTTCAGATTGGAGAACCCTTCAAACACGGGTAGCTCAAAAATAAAGTGCATTGCATCTAGGCATGCTGGAGGCTGAGATAGGAGAACAAGGAGTTCAAGGCCAGCCTAAACTCATGGTTAGACAGTGTTTTCAAATGTAAAACAGAAAGAAAGGGAAGAGAAGGAGGAAGTGGAAGGAAAGGGAAAGGGAAAAGAAAGAAAGAAAGACGGAAAGAAAGAAAGGAAGGAAGGAAGAAAGATGGAAAGAAAGAAAGAAAGAAAGGAAGGAAGGAAGGAAGGAAGGAAGGAGAGAAAAGAGAGAAAGAAGAGAGAAAGAGAAAGAGAGAAAGGAAGGAAGGAAGGAAGGAAGGAAGGAAAAGGAAGGAAGAGAGAGACAGAAAGAGAGGAGGGAGGGGGGAAACTCATAAAAACTAAAGCCTTCCTCATAAAGGCTGATAAAATGGTGATTTTGTTTTGGTCATTTGTTTACCTAACGCATGCTAGCAAAATAAAACTGGTACATATTCTCAGGTTCTAATTGAAGCCTGCAACTACAAAATTCTAAGTGTCCAGTTATGTACCCAGATCTCCAGGTGGCCATATCATGTCCAGTCATACCTCTGTAAAATGAGCCCTGAATGAAATGAGTTGTTCCACAACCTAAGTCTAAGCAATCCATAATAAAACTTATATCTCAATCTACATATGTATCCTTAATCCTTCTTATAGCAAAGAGACATTACACTCAATGCTACAGAGTCAGAAAAAAAAAGAATAAACTATTGCTAGGCAACATTTTGAACATTTCCTGCTGAAGATGTAGAGTGAGCAGCTCAATTTTGTGATGTACAGTGGATCGGTTCCTTATGTTCACACATCCAGGCCAGGTTTTCCTTACCCCACAGGACTGCCAGGCTGCCCTTAGAACAGTCCTCCCAAATGATGCTAAGCCCCAAATGGGCTTACTGGTGCCGGTCATTTCCAATTCATTCTCATGAAGCACCCAACAGCCCCCTCAACTGGAATGCTCTTAATTAAATATTCACAACCAAGTTTTCTACAGAATAAGAATTTCTATGGTTACCTTGGCATTTATTTCCAATTCCATAAACTCTGAAGTTGCCTAAATGGCAGTTTCAAAAACTCTCCCTCCTTTACCCTTTTGTGAATCTACAGCACCCTTGAAATTCTGTGCCCCCCCTTACCCACAACTATACAAGTTTCTCAGAAGCTTTTGTCTTTTACAAAATCCCCTCTTCAACCCCATACTGAGTACTCCTCACCCGGACAGAAGGGTCAGAAGCAAAGAGCTTTGTTTGCAGTTATAAAGGGTGATGTGACATGCTGGGTCTCCTGGACCAAATCCACAGTCATCCCCAGGGATCCTCACCTTCTATGTCCCTGGACAATGTTCTCAGTCAACAAAGATGGAGTGCTTCTGCAAATACAGGTAACACAACAGTTCATGTGCTCTGTGGAGAGAGGAGGGAGCAGGGAATAGGAATGGGTTGGGCAGTGGTGGAAAATACCAAAAAGACTATATTCATAAAACTGTATGTCTATCACTGTACAGAGTGCTTTGATTGAAGTAACACAGTTCTTTTCCTCTTTGTAATACATCTTTGCAAGGTTTGTTTGGGGGAGAAAATAAAGACATTACAAGTTGGCAATCCTGGGCCTACAAAAATCAAATACTTTTCTCTTTGTCTCTAGGAACCTCCTATATTCCTGAGCCTTATTCTAAATAAATTAAACACGGTCAACTTAATGCCTCAGAGTCAACAAAGAACACTCCAATGTGAGTTCAGACAATGCGAGAAACTTTTCTGTAGACACAAGATCGAACTTGAGACCACTTGTAGCCATGGGTGATTTGTGAAAACACTTTCCAAGAATCTTTCAATAAAAACAATAAGTAGTTTGCACCCAAGCCAGATCATAAAAGGAATGACAACCAAGTCCTAATGGTGGGTTTGTGTTTGCAGGTGGCTGTGGTAGCTGTTGGCTTCATGGGGGTGTAGTGTAATAAGGAATAAAATGTGTTCAAGTCCACTTCCCAGAAGTTCCCAAGAGCTGTCTGTATGTCACCGTGTGAGTCCCCACGACACCCCTGTGAGGTAGGTAGGTGGAGAGTATTGTCACCCCACTTTATGGGTGGGAGAAATGAGGCACACAATAGCTAAAGGACTGGTCCATAATCACACAGCTAGTCACTGGCAGGGCGTAAAGTCAAACTGATACTGATTAGCACCTGGCTCAGTGCTTCGCGCATACAGGTGTCCATTCACTACCTATGGACTTCATTTGATTTACATCCCAACATACAATTACACACATAAAGGACAAGCAGCCACCAAAGAACCGTCATCTCTACATTTTGCCTGCGGATATCTCTCATGACTTCAAATCCTAGTGGATGGAAGGTGATTCAAAATCCATCTCACGACTGAACTCTTGGTTGGAGAAAATCAACAGAAACACTAGCGTCAATGACCTGCTCGTTTACCTGCTCTACCACACAAAATCAGTTTTCTAATGAAAACAAAAATGGATTTCAGGAACCATGCTGACTTTTGGGGGTTTTGTTTGTTTAGTTTGGTTTTCTGTTTTTTTTTTGTTTTTGTTTGCCTGTTTGTTTTTAATGCAGCCATCTGAATGGTTCTGTGTTTTGTTGGTACAAAAACAAAAAAGAAAGAAAGAACTAAGGCGGCTATTGTCCAGTTAGCATGTAAAAACTGGGCCAAGCACAAAGATCTCCTCCTCTCCTCTCAGGTTGCATGGATTACGATCTGAGGAACTGGACCAACCCACGAGGCAGTGGCAGCCAAGAAGGCAGAGGGCCACCGGGCCAGCGTCACTTGCATTGTTCATGTTCTGTGTAGTCGTCCATGTCCACGTCAGAATCAAAGAGGGAGTGTCCTGTGAAATCCGTGTCTGGGGTTCTAGAGAAGCTGTTTTCTGCCCCCTCGTCTTCAAAGGTCTCTGTCCTTGAGTAAAGGCTGAAGTCCAGCAGTGGGGTGTGGGTTTTGCTGCCTTCACTGCTCTCCTCCGATTCGTAGATGGTGTTGTCATCATCATGGTGCCACTCCGGCCAGAATTTCCTCCTTATCCTCTCACAGTACATGGCCAGGTTGATCAGCTCCCCTGCAGTGTGGGAGGGACAGTGAAGTTAGTGCTTGAGGCTCCAGAGCTAATAGTGCTACTGTCAGAATGCCCATGACCTCCCTAAATGCACCTCTCAGGTAATGGCATTCGGAGAGGTGTGGTGGGAAGTGATTGGATTTGAGGGCAGAGGCCTCATAGCAGACTCTCAGAAGAGCTGCCTGGCCCTTCCACCATGTGGCATAGCATTCACTGTCTATAGTGACTTGTGTGTGTGTATGGGCATGTGTGTGTGTGTGTGTGTGTGTGTGTGTGTGTGTTGGTACTGAGGCTTGAAGTCATGGCCTGACTCTCTTGCTTAGCTTTTCATCAAGGCTGATGCTATACCACTTGGGCTATACCTTCACTTCCTTACTCACTGTCTATGATCCAGAAAGTAGGCCCTTACCAGATACTGAATCTGCCATTTCCCGATTCTTGTCATCCCAAATTCCAAAATTATGAGAAATAAATTTTCATTGCTATTTCATGGAACTTGAAGCAAGATATTGAGCCACTGGGGCTGGGAAATGTGGTAGGGAATAAACTGGGCTACACAGTAACTTTTTCAGGAAGGGTATGCAGGTGTGCACTAAGAATTCACTTTATGACCCACTGAGCCTACAAAACATTCAGTAAAATTAATATATTTTTAATCGTTTTAATTTGAAATTAAACACTTTTGTGGAATCACTAACTAACATTGTCTAGACATTTGTCTAAATGGGACCCAGTAATTGGCTTTTCCCAATTCTAAAAAGTGAGCTTTTACTTTTCCTCCATCAGATGGCAGCATTGCTTACAAATACAAAATCTGACACCAACTTGTGGAACATTGTTACACTAAGGATATTCTTTGGAGCCACATGAAGATAGATAGATAGATAGATAGATAGATAGATAGATAAGATAGATAGACAGACAGATAGATAGATAGATAGATAGACAGACTTTTTCAGTACTGGAGTTTGATCTCAGGGCCTCACAATTAAGCTGGAACTCTACCACTTGAGCCACACCTCTAGCCATAGGTTTTGTTGCTTCCCTTCCCTCCCTCCCTCCTTGCCGTGCTGACCTCAAATCAAGAACTTTCTGCTCTCAGCCCCCCACATACACACATCTCTTCATGACCATTTCCCTGTGGAAGGCTATGAAAGTGAAGATACGCTTTTATGTGCTTTCCAAGGGCATTTGCCCACTTTGTGTGTGTGTGTGTGTGTGTGTGTGTGCGCGCGCACACGTGCATGGGGCTAGAACTCTGGGCCTGGGCGCTGTCTCTGAGCTCTTCAGCTCAAGGCAAGCACTCTACCACTTGAGCCACAGCACCACTTTTGGAGATAAGAGTCTCACAGACTTTCCTGCCCAGGCTGGCTTTGAACCACCATTCACAGATCTCAGCCTACTGAGTAGCTAGGATTATAGGCGTGAGCTACTGGTGCCCTGCTATTTGCCCACTTTTTAATCTATCAAGTAAAAAGCAAAAAAAAAGAAATCAACCAAACAAAAACCCCCAATACACCCAATTACAATAAAGCATGGTTGGTAAAAATAGTTGAATGAGATTTTTCTTAGAACACAGATGAGTGTGCTGACTAAAGTATCCATTCTGACTCCATAGTTAAAATGTCACAATTACAAATAATAACAAAACTGAGATTCTTTTCTTACTGGAAAAATACTAAAAATGAATTATATTTAGCCCTAATCAAGGAACTCAAAGTAGAAAAGTTTCAGACATTGCTGGTGATAATGGAAACTACTCCATACTCCAAGAGCAAGTATCTCAGCAGGATTTAGCCTCAGGGAACAATAATTTCTACTACAGAATATTAGCAACAATTATTTTAAGCAACTTTTTTTTTTGGTCAGTCTTGGGACTTGAACTTTGGGCTTGGGTGCTGTCCCTGTGCTCTTCAGCTCAAGGCAAGTGCTCTACCACTTGAGCCACAGTACCACTTCCGATTTTCTAGTGGTTTATTGGAGATAAGAGTCTCACTGACTTTCCTGACAGGGCTGGCTTTGAACCATGATCCTCAGATCTCAGCCTCCTGAATAGCTAGGATTAAAGGGCTCTTAAGCAACTTTCAAGTCCAGAAAAAGATTGATCACATAAAATTTTAATATAGCAATAAGAAGGGATAGTATGTAACTACTACAGTGTACTCTTTTTTTTTACAGTGTATTCTGGAAGAATACTTATTGACCAGGGGACAAGTCAGAATACAGGGATTTTAAAAAACCTGCAGGTTATACTTGAATGTGGTCTCAATTTGTAAAAATATACACACACAATGGATAAATAATGAGAATGTATAGAATGATACTAACAGTGTTCTGTGGATAATTATTTTTATTTTAAAATTTCTCTAGCTTTTCTCAACTTTCTACGGTCAACAAGTAACACTTCCAATCTATATCCATATCAACACACAGAGATACACACATACATATTTTAAGAATTTCAGAATAGTAAATCATTATGCCTGCAATTCTATCTGTTTAGGATCTCAATCAGACTGAGGAAAGGAAGTCTGGCAAAGAAAGGCAATCTGGCAGAAAAACCACAAGACTTCACTCCCCAGTTAATCAGCAAAAGCTGGGCTGGAGGTGTGGCTTAAGTGGTGGACCAGTAGCAAAGCAAGTATAACTAAGCATGTGTGAGGCCCTGAGGTCAAATTGCTCCCCACTAAAAAAGAATTAAAATTCTTTTTTGGGGGGGTCTGGTCGTGGGGCCTGAACTCTGGGTCTGGGCACTGTCCCTCAGCTCTTCAGCTCAAGGCTAGTGCTCTACCACTTGAGCTACAGCGCCACTTCCATCCAGCTTTTTTCTTTTTGCCTATGTGGTGCTGAGGAATCGAACCCAGGGCCTCAGGCATGCAAGGCAAGTGCTCTACCACTGAGCCACCTTCCCAGCCCTGGAATTAAAATTCTTATAGCTCTTATAACCAAATATACCAAAATTGTTTTTCTTTGCACATTATAACACTGATGATAATGCCTTCTATGGCATCAGACTCGGCATTTGTTGACTTGTTCCTTATTCTCCCACAACCTTGCACTGCCCAGCTCTCTGCTTCTCAGTTTGTAATCTCCATTAACCCTCTGGAATAGGACAAAGAAATACCTTGACCTCAAATATTGAATTCAAATATACTTATGCCTATGTTGAAAATACCTATCACCAGTTCAGACTCAAAAACAGCAGTGGGTGTATTGGCCTTACCTAGCCTGCTTACTGCAGTACTGAGTATACCAAAAAGTGATCTATCATTACTGCCTGAAGCACAGTGAAGAAGGCCAGCAAAACACAGGCATTTACTAAACAAAATCCAAGCTCTAGTTCAGCCACAAGTATTAGGTCCCACTGTATAAGTAGCAGGCAGAGAACTGGTCCAGACCCACAGCCTCATGTTTTCATAAAGCACAGTCTAGATCAAGGCATTGGCCCAGAATTCTACCTGCTCCCAGCATCTCCTGAAACCTGAAGAGGTTGGTAGAGCTCACCTTTAATCAGCCGTTCAGGCCTTGTCCCTGGCAAGGTCCACATGGCCTGTGCCAAGTGCCCAAAGACAGTGGCATCCAGAGTGGAAAGTTTGGGACCCATGATATATTTCTTGTCACCTGCAGCAAACAGAAGAGAAGTCACAGGACTGGCCACAGCAATAGCAAGGGCATTCAGCACAGTCTCGTTATACACTCATAGGACTATGCACAAAGCATTGCAAAGACAAAACGCATGCACCTTAAAAAATGTAAGATAAAGCAAGCAATTCTGTAACACATCGACCCAGGAGGTAGAAAAGCAGGGGATTCTATATTCAGAGAAGTGAATGAAAGAAAGTGTTCATGGGGGAAAAAGGAAAAGTGGTCATTAACTGACCACTGCAAGAACCTTCTGGTTTTTAACTGGAGTAATTAAAGCTTGAGAATCCCTGGAAATTCACTTATGCCATCTCAAAAGTGACCTAAACCAAGTACACTCAACCTTACCACTTAAGTGCTTAAATTAACCCATTTCCTCAGAAGAGCCAGAAGCCTAGGCTACTTGAGAAACATGGAGGTAAGATTCTCCATGATGCTCCCCTGGTCTTGGTAAGTTCTCAACGGGGGGATTCCCTAAGCAAACAGAAGACATGGCATCCCACCCATACAAGGATGCCTCACACCTCTGCTCCCATCTCTCTGTATCAGCTGCTGACTTATCACACCTTCTCACCTGGGCCATCACAGAGACAGATTACAATTGCCCCAAGTTATCTCCTGAACCACAGTAAGGGGTAGGGGCAGTTGGGTCTAGTCTCACCTTAACACCTCTGTTATTCATCCTGATCATTATGTAACTGCTCAAAACCCAGTCTTCCCTGAAGAAGAAAAAAAAAAACAGGGGATGATAGGAATAGAGCTTATTCCTTAGGGCTATTTTGACAATAGAATAAAACCTATAATCCCAGCATGTGAGAAGCAGAAGTTGGAGGAACAAGAGTTTGAGGCCAGCCTGGGCTACATTATGAGACGAAAGAAAAAAGGAAGGAAGGAAGGAAGGAAGGAAGGAAGGAAGGAAGGAAGGAAGGAAGGAAGGAAGGAAGGAAGG